AAGTTAAAAAATTACTATCAAGTTCCAAGGATGGCTCGTGTTGGATAATAAGAAAGAAATCTCTCTACAAATATCTCAACTGGCAAAATGCAAGGCGACTCTTAGTGTTATCCCTAGTTTGTACTAAATTTGCAATAGTCAATTCAAACGTCTCTTTTTATATGTGTCCCAACAATGAGATGTTTAAAAATTACACTCAAATTGATCTAGAGAAGATTTATTTGAGATACAACAAGACCTGAAATATTGTGGATATCAAGTTGTCAAATGGAACAGTATGAAAGCTTATTGAAGTTAGACATGTTCTATTTTTTAAGAGAAATCCGATCTCGGTGAGCTAACTGACAAAGTTAGGTTTGTGACTACTTTCACAAGTGATTTGTGAAAGGTGAACAAAAAGCAGTGGTGATTGATTGAGACAACATTTAAGGTATTTTTTAATGGATCAATGAAAATTTGGATTTAATTAATGTGGCAGGAACTAAGCTGGATGCAGGCCTATGACACCACAATTTGGTTATATGAGCGGGAATGCTATGAAGCCCCTACTTTCAAAGAATAAACTTCAGGATTTCAATATATGGATTTGGATTGCTGTGGAGATTATGTATATGGCAAGTAGAAAGTTTCGTTATCTAAAGGTGGGTTAATAGTGAAGTTAAAGAAATTAGAATTAGTGCATATTGAAGTATGGGGTCCTACTTTAGTTCAGTCCATTGATCTTATGTATGAAGGCCCCACTTAAGTATGGTCTCTCTCTTATGCATCATCTTCTATTTAATTCTCAAATTGGCTATTGCTCAGACTCTAAATTAGTCTACCTTGATTTGACAAGCCTTTTTAAACTTAGTGTCATTGTTCAACTTTGGTGCTGAATTACAGCAACTTAGAAGGCTTGTGTCATCTGGCCTTGTCATTTGATTTCATGCTAATCAATTTTCTCATACACTAATATAAACTAGACTCATTGATCTTTGATCTAGTGGATATGAAGGCTTCCTTGCCATTGATCTCTAGTATGTTCAAAACTTCAAGACCTTTGCTTCATTGATTTGTGATTTGTGTAGAACTTGAAGACTTTTGTGCCATTAATCTCTGATCCATTAAAAAATTTGTCTACTTCATTGATCTATGATTTGATCCTAGTCGTAGCCATGCTTAGAACAAGCTTACTGGAAACCTTATAACCATTATGTAGTATTTGGTATGACAATTATGTGGTTTTGATATTGTCAATATGGCCTTTAGCCCAGGTAGACAGGGCATTGTTTTCCTCACTGAATCATCAATTAGAAAGAAAACATGTCAATAGGTTGCTACTATCGACTCATATTGGATTCTAAATAACAGAAGAAAAAACTTGAAATAAATACTTTTGAATTATTAAATTTTATAGGTATTGATACCTAAAATTTTCATGATCATATTCAAGACATTTGAATTTCATGGACTCTATTGTGTAGGCGTGGTCAACTTTAAGACAGTTCAATTATGTTTTCTTGCAAAATATACAAACATTTTAAATATATATATTCACTTTAAAAGGCGTGTCAAATTATACAGGAAACCTCGAAAGTAATTAATGAATAAAGTGTCATCTGATATTCTTAACATTTAAAAACAACTTGCAAAAATAATTTATGTTAATGCATTGAAAATTGTGTTAAAACATCGAAATTTGTGCATCTGGGTAAATGATTGTGTTATCACATTGATCACTGCAAAAATCATGTGTTAGTGCGTTGACATTTCAACTATTACACTGCAATCCCTAGATTGCCACAAATCCCACCAATGGATTCTAATAAATGTCTAAGTAGGTAAGGTAATTTGAATTTCTTTCAGAAGATAGTGGATCACCGAAGTAATCTTCCTGAGAATAAATCAACATAATACCCAAGTGGCTTAATCCATGTAAAAATAACGCCAATTTTATTCATTATGCTTATAAGCCTAGGACGTAGGAATAACCTTCTAATTCAAGGTCTTTGTGCTTTATTACCAGGATAGAGCTGTAATTAAACCGAGATGAGCCATGTAAAATTGTATTCAAGTTCTTGCTCGTTTACTTAAAACTTGTTCAAACTTGGCTTAAGTTTGATTCGAGCTTTTGGGATGCTGTTGAAGATATGTTCACTTAAATTCATTCTTATTCAAGTTTAATTTGAGCTTTGCTTAAGTTTAATTCATTTTATGATTATGAAGTTTTAAACTAGCAACTTGTTCAACATTTTCAAGTCGAGCTTGTTAAGCTTGTGAATAAATAGAGAATTTAATTTAAAAAGCTTAGTTATTCTTAACAACCCAAGATAATTCTATTGAGTTTAGAGATTAAAATTTTATGTTACAAACCTTTAAACAAAGCTTAAAAATCCCGCTCCCAAGCCAAGCCAACAATCCATACGACCATGTGCACAAAAAGTTGCAAGCAATGGAGCTTAATTTTTTTCATTTATCGACAATGATAAATCTCCCTATATAAGGGTAAAAAGCTTAAAGCTTCGTGTGAAAGCCCTTTTGTTTTTGATTTACGTGAAAGAACGTGCATGTTTGAAAGCATGTATTTATTTATTTCCTTAATTTATATGAGCTTCATGTGAAGCTTTAATTTTTATTAAATTGAATTAATATGAAGCTCCACATGAAACTTATTAAGATGAAACTCCACGTTAAAATTTGAAATTTATTTTTCATTTGGTTTTTAAATTATTTTTAGTTAATAATATAAAATAAATAATAAAATCTTAAATTATGTTTTATTTTTATTTTGTATTGGATCTTAAGTTAATATTGCACCTTAATTAAGCTTTTTAATGAACTTATTTACAAGTTTTTAATGATTTTATTCATGATCATAAATAAATGAACAATAAAGTGTTCAAACTTATTCATTTAACAACTACGTATTTATGAAATTGTTCAAGTTTAATTAATTTATTAAACAATCATGAACGAGTTTTTATCGAGTCGAGCCATGAGTAACCTTAATGGATAGTCTTTCATATAGTGCGAGCTCTTAAGGCCCACTATTCAGATTACCTTGCCTATAGAGTGACGTCATAATACCTATCAATCGGGCAAATTTTACCTCAAGTTAAGGTCATAAGGTCCATTATGCAGGTTGTCTTAGGTTGTTCTAATTCCAAACAATAAATCTTATATTGGACTTTATTTAAATATAGGTTTATGAGTTAGGACTCTTTAACAGGCAGCTACGATTCCTAATACTCCTATCTAGGTTGGAAATGATTGCCCAAATCAAGTTTCTTCTCGAGATTCCCTCATTCGGTCATTCTCTAGGTTTAAGTCCCGCTTGCAAGCCTTTCAATGGTTATATAACCCCTTCCAACTAACGGGATAAAAAAAATGTTAACAAGCATGTCAAACCAATGTAATTATTTGGGCCACTTTGTATGGTAAGGCTGAACATCCATTATTTAGCTTTCCTTATTCTCGAAGTTATAAGTTCCACTTATGAGCCTTTCAATGGATGTAAGCTTCACACTAGTTAATCAATATTTTAAAAAATTTAATTATCCCATTAAATTATACTTACTTTCTGATCCTTTTCAAGATTTTAAGCCCCAAATGTATTCAAACTAGCTCTGTTGTTAATAATCTCATCAATTGAAATCAAACTCAGTAATCAAACTTTATGTGGCTTGGCATGTTTGAGTTAAATTGAAACTCTTGGACGATTATGCCCAACTAGAGGTGTAAACAAGTCGAGCCAAGCTTGAGTGACCTCTGGCTTGAGTTTGAGCTTGATTAATTAATCAAGTTTGAGTTTGAGCTTAATTTATGAGTTCAAGTCAGCTCGCGAGCAAACTTATTTATTATCGTAGAGGGAAAATGATTTTGATTCAAACAACTATTTTAAGAAAATGATAAAAAGAATGAGCAATTTAGGGAGAAACAAAAAGAAATTACTCGATTTATCAATGTAAAATATAAAATTTTAATATTATTAAGAGTTCATAATTAACTCATGAATTTTATTTTATTTCAAGTCATTTTATATTAATATATTTTTAAACGCTCATGAGCTGACCAGTCCGGTTGGGCATGGCTCATGCTTGTCTTTTTAACTCATTTAGCACAACTCCTGTTCATTTATTATGTTGAGCATGAGCCAACTAACGAGTTAGCTTGGCTCAGTTACATCCTTATGCCCAGCAACTTTGAGCCAAAAGTGACTATATTGTATGTCCTAAATTTGTATATGAATTTGGCACAGTCAACCCTCTTCTAACAATTAAGTTGACATCAAGTTTAAAATCACATTTTTGACAGATATTCACTCCGATTTGTTTAGGATATATGAGAGAATGAAACTCATGATTGATAATTTGGCTTTTTAGACATTTAGGCTTAGCTTAAAGCCCTCTGATGTTGGTTAACTAGGTTTACTCGTATCTGGATGACAAAATCATGGGTTATTGCTTAGGTTGACATCCATTACCCCAACTATACACACCAAGAAAATTCAAATCTAAACGTAAAATCTAAGCCAAATGCATTCTTAATCATGAGTGCTCTTTATGACATGAGGGATAATTAATGATGTGGGTTTACACTAATAAGTGTCCTCATACTCAATCTAAATAATCCTTGATCCATTTGTCAGGAAAAAATCTGGTTAAAATAACACAATGTATGTATTTAGGGAAATTACTCTTTAATCCTTTCATTACATCGAAGAGGTTAAATGTAGAGGAGGCTTTTTTTCTAGCAATCACTTCCCCACCTAGCATAACTTATAATATTTCCCAATATTTATAGACTGTTCACTTTCACATATAGTCGTTTGCAAACATGTCTTAACTTGCTTTTCTTCTCAATATTTTGCTCAATAGGTTATCAACCATCCCTTATCATTAAATTACATGTAAATTTAATATAAGCTTATCAACACTTTGCCATTTTTCACCATAATTGATTTGAATTTTTACGTCATTTCAATTTAAAGAAATGCTTATTGTTTTCATTTAACCCCGCAGATTTAAAGAAGGTTCATATGCTAGAAAGTCTTGAAGTGAAGTGTTTTCTTCTCTTCCTGAACTTATGTTTACTTCCATGGATCGAAAAAAAATGGGCTCCAGACTTACTGGAAAAACTTCAAGGTTGCAGGATTCAAGCGGTCAATACTCTAAACATATAAGATGCAATACGGAGCTGTGTTCCGCTGTGGAAAGAGGAACAGGCAACACAGCAAAATTGAAGACTTTAACCTCTTTCTCCTCCATTAGCCACCAAAACCCTCTGCCTGCAAGAGTGAACCAACCAGTGCTGCAAAAGAGAGCTATTACTGACAGAAGTCATGGAAAAGTGAAAACTGACGTTTCAAAATGCATTCCCAAACGGTTGGAAAAAGCAGAGGTTGGAACAAGAATTTATGAATTTCCATCTTTTGTTAAGGAGGCTAATTCATCAGCTCTTCAAAGCCTATCAGAAGATGGAACAAGGATTACAGAAACCTGCAGTGATATTTTATCTCAAGGTAAAAGAAAACAAATAAAACAGAGGCCAGGATGTGGGAGTTTTTATGCACCTACAATTTCCTCTACAATGCGCTTGATTGCATCTAGAGATGCCAGGAAAACTATTATAAGTTCTTCTCAAGGTACAGGAGTGGGTGCAAGGAAATGCAATTTGAAGAAAAATATTTTATCAATTTCAGAATTTATTCCATTTTCTCGCTCTATTTCTGAATCTACTGCCTTAAAAACCAGCACATCTGCGTCATCAAATAGAAAATTATCAGGGTCTCTGAATACTAGGCTCTCTGCTGCAACTACTCTAACAGCTACAAGCAAATCTAAGATAAACGATCTCTTGGCGGTAGTCAAGCCTCTGGAACATTCTAGAAGTGGGGCTACAAGAGGGCTGCTAGCTAAAGGAAATCCACGCCATCCACTCCGCAAAGCAATGGTTGCTCGAGTGCCAACGAGCAAAATTTCTATTTTGGGGTCTTCTGGGAGCTCTTCAAGGTCTCTTGGCAATGAGCTCTCTTCTACCTGCCATAATGTTTCTGAAAGGAAGAATTTTAGGAGACAAAATTCTCCTAGTGGACCTACTTCAAATCCTGCAGTAGGAAGGATGCTTACCTTTTGTGATCCTTCAATTAATCCAAATGCTCGTAGTTGGAATAATACTGAAGAAATTATAGAGGTCTGGTGTTTTTTTTTTTTTGGGGCATTTACGTACATAGCGCATAACTCTAATGCGTTTACATATCTCACACCTAAACTTTCATATTCATGTAAATAATAAAAGTTTAGGTGTGAGATATGTAAATAGATAAGAATTGTGTGCTATGTATGTAAATTTCCCTTTAATGTATTTTTAAACTGTCTTAGTTTTGCATTGGGCGTTCTAATTTGCTTACCTGCATCACATGCTTATCTTGCAAATCCATTTAGTAAATCATTTTTATTTTTTCTGCAGCCTCCAATGATCCTGGAGTGGATTGAGCATAATCAAGAACGAACTTATGAGGTCAGTTGAAGTTAATTTCTTTGCTGCAGAACTTACTGTTACACGAACAGGGTATTAGCTATCTTATTTTTTTGCAGCATATGTTACAATCTGAATCAAATGTGTCATTGGGAAGACTTAACTTCCATGACCAATATAGAGAAATGAGAATGGACATTGACAACATGTCCTATGAGGTAATTTAAAAAATTTCTTTCTACATTATAATTGTATGATTGGTTCAAGTCTCATAGAAATTCTTAAACTAATGTTTTTACAGTTGATTATAAAATTTATTTTTATTGCATGTATATCATTTTAGTGAATTCTAATCTTCAGAAACTAATTGGCCATGTTTTTGATGTGCAAAATTAGCATTAACTACTCATGTCATGAACAGGAACTTCTCGAACTGGCGGAAAAAATGGGCTCAGTTAGTACTGGCCTGACAGATGAAGCACTTACAAAATGTCTCAAGAGAAGCAATTTTAAGAAGCCACATTCTCTATTTGGAATCACTGATTACGTTGAGGATGGTAACAGATGTGGCATATGTCTGGTACTTACCCTCTTAAACTCGTATTACTTATGAATAAAGTGAATATACACAGCATTGTCTTCTTAGGGGCCATTTTGGAACAGTTTTATTTTTTTTTTTTTTCTATTTTTTATTTTATTGTTTTGTTAATGTTTTGATTTGAAAAAAAAACACTTTTGGCTATTTGATTAAAATATAGTTATCTTTAAAAATAGTTAAAACACATTAAAATTATTTTTAGTGTTTTCAAAAAAATGTAATTTATTTTTAGAAAAAAAAACATGTAAAAAATACAATAAAAAAACATATTTTTAAAAACAAAAAGAAAAATAAAAAATTGATATCAAACAAACCTATAGCCAATGTGGCTGGCAGGCTGCATGGTCAATGGCATTGTGTGATAGGTGTGCTATGTGAGTGGGGCTTATGACCCCATATATGCATACACATTTTCATCGCTCATGCTTGGCCCACATGGCGAAAGGGGTCGTGCTCACAAAAGTTGGTTGAAGCCCATGCGCAACGCATATGCGTACGATCACTTGACGACAATCATGCTGTTGGTTTCTAGTTGGTGATTCGATCTCACACTTGAGCTAAGCATGGACCTTTTTAAATTCATCCAATAATATTATTATTATTTTTATTTCTCTTGAATAAAATCCGACTATAGTACTTGTTTTGGTATCAATAAGTTTATCTACTCTCATAAGGGAGCTTGGTTTTAGCCCCTCGCTAATCTCTCATTTTATACTGTTTGCATTTTCAGGAAGAATGTGTTGATGGAGAAGACATTGGAGCATTGTCGTGCGAGCATTGGTACCACCTAGTCTGCATCCAACAATGGCTCAAGCAGAAGAATTGGTGTCCAATATGCAAATCCCATGCATGCGCCGATCCTTAGAGAAGCTATTAGATGTGGGCTACATATGTAACTCTACACGTGGAAGGCGCAAGTGCGTCGCGCGGCAGTACATGCTTTTAGCAGTTGTGTACATGCCCGTCCGACGAGAACTCGACTTTGTATAGAGCTTCTCCAATGGTAAGCTTGTGCTGCAGAGGCTTCAGTTAACATGTATGTTTTATGAACAGTGATAAACATAAAAAATAAATAAAAATAAAAGATAGAATGATAATAACAAAGAAGATAGAATCATTGCTAGTGTAGGGCTCCTACAAAAATAAACATTCATGATTTTATTTTTCTTTGGAACGGAACATAAATGATTTTTGGTGTAAAATTTGTGAAGAGCCATGGTTGTGCTCATTTCTTGCTGTCATGGCATTGATCAATAGAATTGCATTTGAATATTTCAATTAGTGATTTTAGTATAATGATTCTTCATTTTTATTGCTTGTATACTTGCTATTGCATTTATTTGTTTGTTTAGGTTAGCTAGCATTTTAGAAGCCTTTTGCGATCATTTTTATATTCTACATTTTTTTTTTATTTTGTTTTGTGTATATTTTGATTTGAAATGAAACATATTTGATTAAGATAAGATTTTTTTAAAATACTCAAAGACTCCTAAAAATTATTGTAAGTATTTTAAAAAATATATATTAATTTATTTTTAGAAAAAAAAAATTAAAATGTGTAGAAAATATGTTAAATAATTATGCTTTTAAATATAAAATAAAAATAGAAAAAAAATAAAAATAATAAAATTGATTCTTTAGTTATTTTTAATAGAGAAATTGATATATATGTCATATTTAACAACTAACTTTTGATATGTATACTTATAATACCTTGATGTTCTCAACATGTGTGAAGGTGTATTTCACTTTAAAAATAAAATATAATAATGATGGTGTATTTTTTATTTGAGGTTAGAGATTTGAAAAAAATATGCATGTAAATACAATTTTTTTTAAGAATTAGATATGTAAAAGCAAAAGAAATGAGCGCTATATATGTAAATGCCTCTAATTGTTATCCTATTAATATTTTAATATTCTAATTCTTAATTAGTGCTTAACTAGTGCATGCCTAAATATGGTTACTATTTTAGGCGATAAAGGTAGGTAGTAATTTATTACTTTAATGAATTATTGATTTGAATAGCTAGTCCATTGTTTATTCTACTACTGATTAAATTGATTTATTATTTTTTAATAATTTATTTATATATACGCCTAATTAATGGGACCATTTAATGAACTTATTGTAATTCTGAACATATCTTATGATTATTATTCTAACCATCACTTAGTTTCTTGTTTGTTGAATTCAAATTTGTCTTGTAATTAGGTTCAAGGAATATTTTAAAGAGAAGTGGAGAGAGAAATACTGAGCACATGAATGAAGAGTAGAATGCAGGGATTGTGCAATCTTTTTTTCATGAAATGACCCTCTATTTATAGAGAAAAGGACATAACATATAAAATTAAATTTATACCCCTACTTAAGTAGGGATTATATGGGGTTATTATAGGTATTTTACACTTTTGGGCATGGGGCCTCACTGTTCTCTGGCTCGACCAACTGGACTTGGTAGGGCTTCGACGAGTTTTTTTAGTTGGTGGATCCATTAGTGTTGTCGAGTGAATGGATTTGTAACATTGCTAGTTGGTTCGCTGTCAACTGATTGACAGGATTTGATTTGTTGAATTTTGTCGATCGATAGACACAGTCCAGTTGTCAGCCCTTGATCTCTACTAAGGATTTTCTGTCAACAGGGTGAAGCTAGGTCATCAGGCAAAGGGCAAATCGCTGTATTTTGATGGGCAGTCTTCCTTTGGAAGAGAGAATCCTGGTGGGATGGTTAAGGAATGTTATATTGTCTTGATGGTATTAGGAGAGACAGCTCGTTGATCCCGGTAGTCATCTATGATAGAGAGGAAATACCTTCCGCCTCCATGAGTTTGAGTTCTAGCTAGACCCCATAGAGCACTGTGTACATAATCTAATGGGTTCTTTGTTGGTGAGTTCCAGTAGAGAACTTCAATATGGTTGCCTTCCCTAACACACATTGTTCACAAAACTCCATTTTACTGACTTGATCTCCACATAACAGATTCTGTTTTAGACAGTTCTTGTAGGCTCCTTTCACTTACGTGCCTCAGTCGCATGTGTCATAGTCTAGTTCTATCAGTTTTTGATTAATCTACATTCGAGAAGTTACCAATCACAGTTCTTCCGATTAGAGAATATAAGTCATTTTTTCTAACTCCTTTCATAAAGAGAAGAGAACATTTTGTTACTCTAATACAACCATTTTCCACCTTGAAAGGATAGCTGAATGATTCCAACATACCTAAATAAATCAGATTTCTCTTGAGTTCTGATAGGTACCTGAAATGTTGCAGTATTTGTTCAGCTCCATCAAACATCCTTATCTTGATTGTCCCACTGCCGACCACCCCGTAAGCTTGATTGTTTCCAAGTAGTACAAACCCAGCATTGGCCAGTTGAACTGTCTCGAATCAATCTTTATGAACATGTAGAAGGAGCAACCTACGTTGAGAATCCACTCTTTGTTGGATTCTGATTTGATGATTACAAGAGCTTTGGCCGACTCATAGCCATCAAAGGCTATGCTTGCTTCTCCTAAATCTTTTGGCTTTTCTTGAAAGCTTTTCTTCTTGTCAGGGCAATTCTTCTTGAAGTGACATTCATTGTGGAAATGGTAACACTTGTAAGGTCCTTTTGATGACTAATTTCCGCTCTTCTTTCATTGTCTCGATCTTGATATGTTCTAACTGTTTCTTTATTCCTTCTTGTCTGATCTTACTCTAATGGTAAGAACATCTTTGTTGATTTCCTCATTCAAGTCATCTTTTCTTTGAAGTTCTTTAGCTTTGATCAATGATTGAATCTCTTCTAGCAAAATTGTTCACACTCTTCTATAGAGCATTGCATCTTTGAAGTGCTCGTAACTCTTGGGAATGGAGTTTAGCAAAAGAAGCTCCTTGTTCTCATCTTCCATCTTCACATCGTGTTTTCAAAATCATCTATGATCTTATTAAACTCATCAATCTGCTCTGAGATTGATTTTCCTTCATGCATCTTAAAGGAGTATAGACGTTGCTTCAATAAGAGTCTGTCGGTTAGGGATTCTATCATGTAGAGCAGTTCAAGTTTAGTCCAGAGTGCTCGAGTCGTTGTCTCCCTTCACACTTCTCTCAAAAATTTCACCCAAACTCAGAATTCTCATACCATGAGCTTTTATCCAAGATTTTGTTCTTCAATCTCTCAGGAATCTCGGTCGGCAATGTCTTTGGCCTTCTGCGACTCCTTATTGCACTAACAGGGCTCTCATCTTGACTCTCCCCAAGCCAAAATCATTATTTCCGGTGAATTTCTCAATGTTGAACTTAGAGGATCCCATTTTCATGGCTAGATTCCTACAGATGGTGCATTTTTTTTATTGGTTTTTACCTTTATTTAATTTTACCTCTTGCATTTTTTCTGCAGACATTAAGCAGGGATGAGTCTTAGAGATAGTAGGTAGTTGACATCAATCTATCTAAACTACTATCCGACCACCATAATTTCCTTCTTGCACTTTATCATTTATTATTTGTGATGTGTCATGGGTGACAATAGATAGATTGCTCATCCCTTAGAAGAGTCTCTTTGGTTAGCTTTGATGAATTTTCAGATCAAATCAATTCTTATTCTACTCCCGTCTCGTTTGCTTGTTTAAAATCAAGTCTTATTCTACTCCTGTCTCGTTTGCTTGTTTGGGTTATCACCTCCAACGGACTGACTATTGTGATTTGCTTCTAGAATGATTTACCCGGTACCCTTTACAAAGCTTGTTGCTACTGATCAGAGAACCATGTTCAAAGCTTCACTTGGCTCGGGTTTAGAGATGTTTTTTTTTATTATGCTTGAGATTTGAGGGGTTATTTTTGTTTATGAATGCCGATTGGATGTCTTGCATCACTGTCAGTCATTTTAAGTATTTTGTACTAATCAGAAGGCTTACGTCATTGTCAATTTTTGGTATTGATGCCTAGCTCAAGTCTTACAATTGTCAAGTCTCAGATGCTTGGTTGAATCTCCTCATTGGACAAAGTACCCCCCTGTTCTAAGCCTATTAAACAAATTTTGTCATTGTTTTCACAGTGGTAACCACTTCACAGATTTTATCGCTATTGGGTAGGGAACCACCTCCAAAGTTATATCCAATCAAGTTTGGAGACAAGTTTACAATGCATGAACGTTGCAGGTTGTTTTGACTTACACTATGCCGATTAGATGTCTTAACATCTCTATTAGCTTTATTGATTGAGTTCAAGTTCATTGAGTGTTGACTAGACATTAAGGCGCATTAATTTTTTGAGTTCCATGAGTGTTGTTCAAATCTGGGGTTACACATTAAGTTAGCCAACTCATGTTTTTAATATTTCTTAAAGCAAAAATCATTGGCTAGGAATGAAACCTCCTTTTTTTATTATCTTTTAAATGAGAATACAAGAAATTGCTAAGAAAAAAAATTACTTGAGATCATCTTCGCTCCACGTGCAAGGGACCCCCTTGCCTGTGTAATTCCTTAGCTTGTCTACTATAGGAGCAAACATTTATTCAATGATGAATGGGACAGTTCAAGTATTGTCCTCCGCGAGCAGTTGGATCAACCTTCTTAAGCATAAGGTCTCAGGGCACGAAAATTCTTCTCTCGGATATATTTGTTATACTAAAGAGCAGTGAGTCTCTTGACTTTATCTTTTCAAAGAGATAAATCCGTCCACCTTTATTCTGCAAGTTTGAGCACGAGCATTGCCCCTTCACTGTTCGCCTCCTACCAGTTGGCTAGATTCTCTGTGTCAAATGTTGAATCCCTTACTATGAGTTGTCTATGGTGGTTGTACTAGACTAGTAACATCACTTCCATGTAGTGAGAGAACATGAATGGAATATTCCAGGTTGCAATTGACGGAGTCATTCAATTT